GAAAGGCTAATAAACTACTTTGACCAGGACGCAAACAATACAGAAATGAATCTGGTTCCGGTGAAACGGTAATTACTAAAGATATCAAATCACATAGAGAACCAGCCCCATACCTGAGCAGCTCCGTAGGGAGACCGCCTGGATCAGTTGGCCTGGTTACTTCTGTTTATTCAAGCAACTTGAAAACCACTGTAGTTGATACCTCTTGAAATTCAGGCCAGACAGACGACGAGAAAGTGGAAAGAGGGTCTTGAGGTGGTCGGAGAAACTGAACATTGGGAAGGTTAACACCCAATACACCATCGGGTATTTCCCCGTTTGACCGCAGAGAAGGTTGGTTCCAAGCCACCTGTGCTTGACATTTCGGGTGTTTAGGAACTGTTGAGGGGAATTATCATCAAGTCGTGTTATCTAGTAGTTTGTCAAAAGTGACAGCCGACTGAGTTCAGGTTTGTTTTAAATCTTGTAGGCTTGTAGGCTTGATTGAATGCGGAATATCAGCGGAGGAGAAAAGCTGAAGTGCATAACAGTAGAATGCTAGGAAACGGGGATAACAGCGGCCGGAACAGACAGATAGGCTGGGTCAGATGATTTTTGAATACTTAGAAAAATCACGATATATTGTTTTCTTCAAGACTAGTGGGACATGGTGGATCTGCGAAGAGAAAAAGCAGCCTTAGATGGACAGAGATGGTGTCGACTGTGGTGAACAGTTTGGGAAGAATGAAAGGTGACAGAGGTGATCGAAGGAAACAGGTAGGCGTAGATCGACTAATTTACTGTTCCGTTGGCGTTGGTGCGCAAGTTTTTATTACGGACAGGGTGACACTGCGTCGGACGGGAACTGAAGCGGGAAATATGGGTAATTGATACGGACCGACGGGACAAATGAAGGAGGATGAAGTGGTTAGCGTCTTCAGTGCCTGCTTTTTTCGTCAGATGGGGGTGCAAATGTCGGGGGTTGCAAGGTGATATCACTGGACGACTACTGGTGTAAGGAAAGCGCGAGAGGTCGATGCTTCATGGTAAGGTTGGTTGTAGGTCTTGGACTGAAAGCTGGTTTGGGGTATCTGGCATGCTGGATATTCACCTTTTAATGTTAAATTTCATGCGGGTAAAGAAAAAGCGGCTTCAAGAGGTGCGGTATGAGTTTTCCGAGGTAGAGTCCTAGATACCAGTGTTACTTTTAGAGAAAGAAGTCCCATTATGTGGTACGGTCTCCCATGTTATTACAATTACACTTGTCGGCTCTCGATGCTCTGGGTATTAGGTTATTTACCTGGGTGGTCTGGTGCCTGCTGCCAGGATGGCAGTGGTTGCTCGTTGACTGGGACTTTTTTATCATTTGAAGTCTCTGCTTGGGCAAAGCATGTCATATTTTAAAGCCCGATAGACAACGATGCTCTGATGGAAGGGTACGAGACAGCACCCCAGTCAGGCGGACACGCCTTTTCAGGTTTGTCTCTGTTGGAGTAGCAAGGTTTCTTGACAGCTTTAGAGGCTTGAGGGCTGGAAAAAATTTTGGCGTGGAACTGAGGTCGACTTCTAGTTTTCGTGGCCCGCTAAAGAGAGTACGAGAACTGCGTCCTTGAAAGTTAAGTAGTATGGGGTTGATTGCGGCGAGTTCCACGAAGACAAGTTTAGAAACTTGCAGCCTTTTCACCAGCTCCCCTTAAAGAGGAGTTCTGTGCGTTGCTTTCTGACGAAATCTGTAGCTGTCAGCCCGCTTCAAAAAGGCGGGAAGTGGACGGCGGTTACTTGACACTCATTTGCGCAACTGACTGCAAAGGCATGTTTCCATTTCCATGCCACCTGCTTTCAGTAAAGAGTAGATTACTGTATGAAGAAGGATCCTGTGGGAAAGAGAAACAAAACAGCTCTGCTGGAATGTTTTATTCGCACTCTAAACCCAGAAGAGAAACTGTCGGTTGAAGTGCCAGAGGTAGTTGGATCACTATCAATGCCCGTCATCGGAGGCTGGAAAATATTTGTGAGAGACATCAATTTCTCAGCGAGCCCATCCATGTCTTCCTCTTTTGACTGCGGTGAGTTCAATCACTCCTGTGGGTGATGGGACTTGCTAGTACTGACCCCAAATAAGTTGTCAGTGGGGCCTGTGATATGCGAAACCAGTGTCTTTCGTGGGGGTTGCAAGCATCTACTCTGCTAGGCACAAAATCTTCACAAGTCAAGGCCCGATTAGTACATCACATGATCCTGCGCTGACATTATTGGAAAGATAACAAGAAGTGTGCCTTCACCCTGGCCATCACGAGATAAAGCGTGGGTTGGGCAGCGGAAGATCAAGAAGTTTAAGTGCCTTACTTTTGCAGGTAACTGTTTCGTGGGGCTGTGCACAGTAAAAATATTAGAGGAAGAAAATTGTTGGACAGTTAAAGAATACGATCCAAGAGAACTGTTTTGGCTCACGTAGAACAGAAGACAGATAAATGAAGACCAGGATGTCGATGAAATAAGGTTTACTGAGTGTTGAAAAGCCTTTCTGATGAGGTTTTACGGATAGGTAAGTGGTTATTTCAGAGATGCAGAACTGAAAAAGTATTCCATGGGAAGTCGTGTAAGAAGAGTATAATCAGGTCCAAGCTGATGTACCTACGTTATAAGAAAAAGATAAATGGGGTTTCAGCCAATGGGGAGTATATCATTTGATAACATGTTCCAGCCGAGAACCGGTAGTATTTTACAGATGGAGTAGCAGTGGGTAATTTTAGGCACGTTTTAACCTAGGGTTTCTAGAGGCTGCTTCTGCTGATAGTTAGCGATAATAAACCATGACCCGACAGTGATATGGAGCGTTTAGTTATACTGACAAATGAAGGCTTCATTATAGGTAACTTACTGCTGGGAATAACACAAAAATGAGCTTAAATGGGAAGAGCGGGTTAATCTGAGTAAAACTGGTTGTAGAGTCGTGATAAAATACTCCATAAGAACATGCAATATATTTTGATTTGCAGTTCCATCGTTATAGGCTCCATGAGCCTACCGGCCAAGATAGTTGCTACAAGTTCAAGCCGTGGTACCGTTGTGATCTTTTACGGCACCACAAACAGTTTACTCAAGAAGGAACAGAAACGACGAATACATTGCCTCTTCTTACAACACCCTGCCGTACTGTAACTTGACTCTAATGCATCGCGAAATACTTGGACTCCATCAGCTCTACGGGTTTCGAAGTCCTGTCTCAGGCAGCAAGTCATACACATTTTCTATGGAGCAGATTCTCCATAGCCAAGTCAGCTACATTTTTGTCCTGTCTAAGTAACTCTAATATCAACTTCTAGGTCCTGTTGACAAACATCTTGGAGTAGCAAACTGGCAGATAATAACGTGTACGGTATGAACCCCAATGAACCAAAAACCGAAGCAAGGCATCTTATTGTACCCTCATAGTGATGAGCCTATCATACCCTGGCTATCACTTGTTTGAATTTAAGTTTCGCGTACGCAGCAACCGCAAGTGCGGCTATCAGTGCTTCCCCGACACACATCAGCGTGCGGTCTTTGTGCTCAGGCCGTGTGAAAATGCACACGCGGTTGGAACTCCGCGGTCTTTTCTCGTTGACTTCCATGAAGAACGCGATGGTCGAAGATGAGGGAGTGTGCCCACCCAGTAATTAGTGAGCCGGTTTCATCTATAATGTTTGATTTGTTCTACCGAAGTGACCAAGCTAGGTCACGTCCACGGTAGTTTTTCCTTCCCAGCACCAGCCACATATTCGGTCTAACATTGGTTAGAATTTTCGTCGCATGTATTTATTCCCAGTGGACATTTTCAACTCGGTGCATCTTTTGGGAGTCACAACAATTTCTTCCTTTTTCCACCATCAATATTGTATCGATCGAGCATTGCCAACAATCTGCTGAAATTACTGGCTGGTTCATTTCCACGGAACACCTATTTCACGATGAACAGTGTTTATTCTCTAGTACGGACCAGAGTGCCGTGCAGCGCACATGAAAAAAACCGGATTTTACAGGGGGAGATCCTGAGGTGTTTACCGGCAACCTTAAGTGTCGTTTTTAGGAGGCTCGCATATCTAGTTAGCAGTCCAAATAGAAAAAACGGCTCTCAGCAATCATTGCCAGTATGATCCCACACATCCGGAATATCGTTACAAACCCCCGAGATCATAACCGTATGACACACTCCCGGAGACTCTGACTAGGCGTGTGGCAGCGTCGGAAAAAAACGTATCCAGTACTTTCGCCCCGAAATCCAGCCGGGAGATATGAAGCCGTCACAGTTGTTACGAGAAATACTTCCAGTACTAGGTGCGACATCCAAAAACGATGCAGCCCTCTGTCAACGGTGGGGGCAACGACTCCCACCACTTTCCCAAGGCGTGGTAGCCGTTTTATTACAAATCCAAAATCTAAATAAAGGCACAGATGCTGCAAGCAAAGTCTTCGAGAATGCAAGCACATTTGCCTGGAATTCCCACGCCTTCAGTACCGTTACCGCTGCTCCATGCAGCTAGCGGATTAATCACCCAAGCTTTATTGGAACACTGGGTAGAAGCATTTTGTTGTCCAGTCGTTGTTACCACAGACCGCGGCTCGCATTTTGAGGGAGCATTCAGTAGTCTCCCACAAGACTCAGGCACCAGTCGCACTCGTACTAAAGCCTAACACCCGTCAGCCACAGGACTAGTTGGAAGTTTTCATCGGCAATTAAAGGCAGCCTTAGCAGCTCATCAAAATTCAGACCGGAGGGAATCACTACCGCTAGTATTTTAGGTTACCGCAAAGCTCTCGAGGACGACCTACAAGTCACATCAGCCCAACTCACATTCGGTTGCACGCTTCGGCTTCTTAGTAACATAGCAGCTCCAAAGCCTGCCGTCACTTCTGACTATGCTGAATACACCTCCAGCTTAACGCGCCAGCGGCATAGGGTGCATCTTTCCGCGGCTCGCGAACAAAGCACGATGGGTTACGTACGCCCACGCCTCCAAGAGCGTAAACACACTTCCCTTATGACAGAGGCAAGCCTTCCTCTACAAGCCGCCTTCTCCGGCCTTCACAGGGTCCTATGCCGCCTGGAGAAAACATTCGTCATTGATCTTGCCGGCGGACAGATTACGGGATCCATAGACCGACTTAAACCTTCTCCTATGGCCAAATTCATTCCAGCCGATGTCACCCCATCGACTTCTCCAGGACCAGCACCCACGTATCCGGCATCTCACAAGCTGACGGTACGAAACCCGGTGACTCATTTGCCTGGCAGTCTTGAAGCAGCCCACAACGCAGAGCCGCCCCATTGACCTTCAACCGCGGACGGCTGATTAAGAAACCCGTTCGTCTTGCAGATAGGGTGTATTGGACCCCATGAGTGAAAAAATACAAACGAATACGAAAGAAAAATGGAGATATTTTACCCACATTTGTGTCTGCTCATTCGGGGTTGGTTTTCCAGCTGAGACCATCTTCCGTTTCTTTTTTCGTCGCTTAGCAACTTTGTTGATGTTTTGCTCATCAATCACCTCCGGGCATCATCCCGAAGGGCCCGCAATTTTAGAGTGATCTTGCTTCGTTTTCAAAATACCCTTTTACCAACGGCAGGATACCAACTGCCCTCCGGTACCAGCGCGCAAGATGCCTGCGCCACCAGAAAGTTCGCCTATAATCCTTCTTAACCCAGCCGGACCTGTACTAGATAATTCACTGGGGTGAGCGGAGAGGGAACTCCACTGACGCTTTTGCCAAGGGCACCGGGAAATCCTGCCTCCCGAGGTGAACCCAAGGGATTTTGCGGGTTGGATGGCCAGCTACGGCTGATCTTCCCAGGGTCTCGCTCCGAGTATCAACCGCTTTATTCTACCGCATATGACTTTTCTTTTCTCTCTAGCTTTTTTCTATTTTCTTCCTTGGGGGACTCGTGTTCTCAACTCCTTTTTAACTCAAATAGAACAGTTTCAAACAGTTGTTTATTTTGTTTAAAATATTCCGTTTCATTCCGGCGTTACCTTGCACGTTTCTTTTATTATCATGTTTGTTCTGCCCGTCAGGTGACCGGATGTCATCCAGGGGCAATAAAACCGGATTCGGGATCACTGGAGCTCTGGTCCGAGCCCAAGAACGGTTTCAAAGTCACAAGGAACGTAAACAGTTTGTTATTCATTTTACTGGCTTTACCAAGTGCTGCACACCTGCTGGCTTGCCAAACTCCTCTTTCGAAGCTCTAATACCGGAAGGTCTTCTAGGAGAGGCCTGTATAGTGATAAGCCGATCACACACCTTCTGTTGCTTATGAAACAGTAAGTTTACCATACACTTTAACGGTTATTCCGATCGTGAGTAACGCGCAGCTCAACTGACAAATCCCCAAGTGAGAACAAGATTGAATGGCTGATTCCACAGTTTTGAACAAGGAAATTATACGCATATAATATGTGTGCAAACCTTAACTGTATGGTCACAAAGTCCAGCACCAAAAATCAGAGTTAGGAAAAGGTGGCTGTCAGATACGACCGCCAAGTCATTCAGAGGGCAAATCAACAATCTGCCACGGCACATGAGAAAAATATAAGCAAATGTTTAAGTGTAGTGGTTGATGCTTGCGGCACTCGTTCGAGGGTCAATAGGATGAGGAGCACAGTCCCAACAAAACAAGTATGTGAAAACGGGTGAGGAAGATTTCCACATACGTACGCCGCATACGTGACAGCCACAAACGCCTCTTCCAACACACTTCCTCAGCACCCGCCAACATGCGACATGTATATTACGGCTCTTTGATAACACACGCGGTTGGCACTCCAAGGCTATCCCTCGTTTGATTCCCCGACGAAAGCGATGGGGAAAGCTGACATTGTGCCCAACCAATACGTCCGGTGGTAAATGGAAACTTGGGGAAATGAGCTGTGAAATCAGTCATCGCGATGACTTTTTTGAAGACCTAATCAGCTTCGGTCTGTTATGTTTAGCATGTCAAAGTCAACGCATGTCTTCGACTTTTCACACTTCATAACCTTTTGGGACTAGTCGATTCGCTTTTTAACAAATGAATCCTACTTCTGTTAGCCACCTGAATTATATCTTTTGTGGTTAGGAAGCTTTTCCCTTATTCGGCAGCGACAACAATCAGAAGTGCACAATAAAGTCATTTTTCACCGCGGATACTAGTAACGAAGAATAACTCATGTTTTTTTTCCTCGACAGTGGTGCGCAATGCCACATGACAGCAAAACGCCTACGAAAGTGCTCGAAACGGATGAAATTTCTGCTTGCATGTTTTAAAACTTCTTTTATAACAGTTACCTTGCCAGTGCAGGAAACCTAAAGCCCACCTGTCATTCTTAGCAACTCCAGCTTGTAGGAGTATATCTTGAAAAGTTGGGGCAAGGGGCTGCGGCATGAACACGAAAGCTGGAGAGCAGTCTTCTCAATGTCTTCGTTAGGTCAGGACTTTGTAGTGGGATATGATTGGCTCTGTGCCCTCACAAACAGCCGGGCAGTCGAACATCACTCATTTTTGTTTGCTAGTTGAGATTTAAGACTTAGTGATATCGTAGGAGCTGACATTTGCTGTTTTTCACCTGCGTGTGCGGCTGTTGGTTTAGATCAGCTTTTTCACCCCTAATCGCGAATGACTTCATTGTATTTCCAGATGGGCTCCGAAACCTTAAAATATCATCTTTGGAGTAGCTATATACAGTGCTCCACTACTTGCAGCTTAAAAAGTCAGCTAAGCTCTGCCATTGCGCCACGGTAATCAAAGCTCATAATGTCCATCAATATAACCAAAACTTCTGATCACTTGATCAAAAGCGATTCTGTCCCCGGCAAATGTAACTTTTCTACCCTCAGGTTCGCTTCATCTGAAGTTCATCTCATGACGCCTTTTCATGTCTTTCAGCAATTTCACACTTTTCACGCAATATGGCGTCACAAATTAATCGTTCGTAACACCATCCAATGAACCTTGGATGACTCGACTATCAGACGATTAAACCGCGATTTTTTGTTCAAGAAACCAGTGGATTTCCAGCACGTCACAACCAAGAACATCCATACGTTGGCAGGACAGAAAATCTTAAACTCCAAACCAAGCAGACAGGTCCATCGTTTTCGGTCACTGTCGTTTATTGAATCTCCGTCAGCCCTTGAAATATCGTCCAAAGCAAAGATCATATTTACGTCGAAAGACGAGCCGTTGTTAACAAAACTGATTTGGAAAAACGGTTGCTCTGCGCTATTCAAAATCTTAACTACAGTTTTCAATGCCTTCCCGCCAAGACAAAATGTCCCAGCCAATGTTCTGTATAAGAGACCTACAGTGAACCGTTATCAATGATAACAGACGTGTTTCTACTGATAACGGCCCAGGTGTGCGTAGTAACAAGTTTCCCAAAAGAAAACCTTTACTACCTAGAAAAGCCGATCCATATTATAAAGATTCCGTAAGATTTAGAGTTGGGGTTCGCTGTGAACTGCAGTCTATGCCTGCTTTCACAGCCAGGTAGTTACACAGTGTTTTGGAGTACCGAAAACCGATCACATGATTAGGCTTCAAGCAGAAAGAATAATATTCGTCAGCGATGATCAGGTGCAGTTTTTGTAGCGGGAGCATCCAAAAACCTCTGACAGACAGGAACTTGGTAGTCAACCAGCAAGGAGCGCGAGAAACTTGGAATGGCTTTCCATTCCAATATTATTAGTATCCGACCATAAGACCCTAGGGTGGATTGTATGATCATGAAGGATTCAAAATTCTTCTGCCTTCAAATATTTCCATACCGGATTGTGGACTTTTCTTTTCAAGTTTGTTCATGCCGACACTATTAAACGGTCGTCATTTACTCTACGACGGAAGCATTTACCTTCCCCCCTATGATCGTGCCTTCCTACCGAGATTAACTAGTGGACATCAGTCACTGCCCGGCCAGAGGAAACTTACGCATTCGATGTCGTACGTTACCAGAATAACACTGAGGGCAAATGCGTCAACGCATACATATATTGAGTAAACGGAAAAAGCCCTTGAATAACACCAGAAAACAAGGCGTAGGCGAGCATATGTTTTCGGTGATTTCATTCTCAAGCCAATTACAATCACATTTATAAGAACCAAATTAAGAGAAGGAAAAGGACAAATTTATTCTGTTAGACAATCAGTCCGTCAGTCACTCGATTGGTTAGCCAACTCATCGATAGATGAACAGGGGACATGGTGAGCTACACGAGCTACACGTATTTGCCCGGATGATACTCTAGAGGCGGAGCTAGGAATGATTCTTCGGATCCTGTCGGAAAACGGCTACCCCGAAAAATTCATTGAACGTAATATAAAATACCGAACAGAACCAGAAAGGATACCACAGATGGAAAAGAAAAACCTTGCTCCTCAAACTCCCTTACAAGGGGGATGCGGCTGCCGAGAAAGTAAGCAGGGTCTTATCTGCCACATGCAAAGCCACTTTCAACGCTGCCAAGCTTAGGTGCTTTTTCTCGACATCAACCATCATAAAATGCGAGAACGTGGATAAGTTGCCTTTGTTGACCTCTTCAATGATTATCTATCAATTCAAGCGCACCTATGGTGCCACTTATGTGGGTCGAACGACGAGGCATTTATCTGAACGCATTAAAGAGCATCAATCACGTTGGCTTCAACATGGAGGAAGAGGGGCTGTATCGAGCTTCATTCTCGCCCATCTGTTAGACACAGGTCACAAGGCTGATCCGGCTACGTCATTCAGTGTCCTATACAGGGTTCAACCGAACGAGTCAAAATCAGTCAGATATAGGACACTAGCGACGGCTGAGGCAATCAGCATCCGGCTATTGCGGCCCAAGCTTTGTTCACAAAAGAAGCTGTTCCAAGCACTTGAACTTCCGTGGCCGAAGGTCAATGACGTCATGCTCGAATGTGATGCCGACCCAAGCCTCTGACGACGACGCGTGATTTTACCATGTCCCCCGTTCATCTATCGATGAGTTGGCTAACCAATCGAGTGACTGACGGACTGAATGACTAACAGATTAAATTTGTCCTTTTCCTTCCCTTGATTTGGTTCACATAAATGTGATTGTAATTGGCTTGAGAATGAAATCACCGAAAACATGTTCGCCTACGCCTTGTTTTCTGACATACATATATTTTTGTCAGTGAAACAGCATAATAACGCAGAGGTCCATGCGGAGATTTTCCACTTTATTATCCGTTACCACAGGTTATCTTTCCTCTGAACCGTAGCCAGCTGGAAATTGACTCTCCACTTCTCGAGGACCCTCCAGTTGCGCTTTCTCTTTTCTGAATAGT